CCACTGCCCACGGCCCAGCTCACTGCCCACGGCCTAGCCCACTGCCCACGGCCCAGCCCACTGCCCACAGCCCAGCTCACTGCCCACGGCCCAGCTCACTGCCCACAGCCCAGCTCACTGCCCACGGCCCAGCCCACTGCCCACGGCCCAGCCCACTGCCCACGGCCCAGCTCACTGCCCACGGCCCAGCCCACTGCCCACGGCCCACGGCCCAGCCCACTGCCCACGGCCCAGCTCACTGCCCACGGCCCAGCCCACTGCCCACTGCCCACGGCCCAGCCCACTGCCCACGGCCCAGCCCACTGCCCACAGCCCAGCTCACTGCCCACGGCCCAGCTCACTGCCCACAGCCCAGCTCACTGCCCACGGCCCAGCCCACTGCCCACGGCCCAGCCCACTGCCCACGGCCCAGCCCACTGCCCACGGCCCAGCTCACTGCCCACGGCCCAGCCCACTGCCCACGGCCCACGGCCCAGCCCACTGCCCACGGCCCAGCTCACTGCCCACGGCCCAGCCCACTGCCCACTGCCCACGGCCCAGCCCACTGCCCACGGCCCAGCCCACTGCCCACAGCCCAGCTCACTGCCCACGGCCCAGCTCACTGCCCACGGCCCAGCCCACTGCCCACGGCCCACGGCCCAGCCCACTGCCCACGGCCCAGCCCACTGCCCACGGCCCAGCCCACTGCCCACGGCCCAGCCCACTGCCCACGGCCTAGCCCACTGCCCACGGCCCAGCCCACTGCCCACGGCCCAGCCCACTGCCCACAGCCCAGCTCACTGCCCACGGCCCAGCCCACTGCCCACGGCCCAGCCCACTGCCCACGGCCCAGCCCACTGCCCACGGCCCACGGCCCAGCCCACTGCCCACGGCCCACGGCCCAGCTCACTGCCCACGGCCCAGCCCACTGCCCACGGCCCACGGCCCAGCCCACTGCCCACAGCCCAGCCCCACTGTCCACGCCAGTGGCAGGCCTCTCCGCCTTCTGCCTCCTGCCCTCCCCCACCCAGCGTGGCCAAGGTGTGGGCCGTGTCTCATCCTCCTGTCTCTCCCCCACTCACACAGCCCCACAGGCTCCCGGGGACAGGGCCCTCTCCTCTCTCTCTGGACGTCCTCGCAGCACCCACCCCTCCTCTCTCTCTCCCTCCCTCACCCCGGGCTGTTCCGCCAGGGGATGGGCTCCCCCAGGCAGCGACCTGAGCACCCCAAACCCGTGGCCCACGGCAGGCAGGAGGGCGTCTGTCTCGGGGTCACGCTCCTGGCCCCCCCCAGCGCAGGTCCCCGGGAGGGAGGGCTCCCTGTGGAACGTCCTGGGGGCAGGGAGCGGCGGCCTGGCCGACGGACATTCAGTGCCTCTCGGATCTGAGGATAGCCACCCGCTTCGTCAGCTCTCCCGCCAGAGGCACCCACGGGGGCGAGGAGGCGCTGGGCCACGGGACAGGCCGGCCAGGCCACGGGCAGTCACCCGTGGCGGGGAGGGAGGCGGAGGGCGGGGAGGCCAGGGCCCAGGCATCTGAGCACAGGGAGCCCCCGTCTCCAGGGCCCCCAGGAGGCCAGGTCAGAGGCGCCCGGCCAGGAATCCGAAGAGAATGATGTATTTGTTTGCAATCTATTTTTAATGTCCGTCAACACGACCTCCGGGAGCCAGGGCCTGGCCCGGCCGCCCGGCCGGCTCCCGCGTGGCCCCCGAGGACTGGCTCCGAGGTCACAGGGCCCCCTGCGGGGGGACAGCTGGCCCCGGAGGGAAGGCTGCAGCACCCTCACCCCCACCCCCCAGCCTCTGCCAGCCGCCCCCAGGCCGCGTCCTGGCAGCTTGTTTGGTACGAGAAGTCTGATTAGAAACGGTCGCAGGCTCAGCCACCGCAGCTGCTGGGGTGGGTGGGACAGGCGAGCTTTGCCCCGGCCGGCGGCCAGCGTGGCTCCGGGGCTGAGTGGCGACCTAGGAGCCAGGAGGTCACGGTTCCATTCCCAGCAGGGGCACAGGCCGGGTGGCGGGCTCCGTCCCCAATGGGGGGCGTGCGGAAGGCAGCTGATCCGTGATTCTCTCTCCTCATGGATGTTTCTCTCTATTTCTCTCTCCCTCTCCCTTCCTCTCTGAAATCAATTTTAAAAATAAAAAAAAAAAGTAAAAAATGACCACCCTGACCGGTGTGGCTCAGTGGATAGAGCGTCGGCCTGCGGACTGAAGGGTCCCAGGTTCCATTGAAGTCAAGGGCATGCACCTTGGTTGCGGGCACATCCCCAGGTGGGGGCGTGCAGGAGGCAGATGGTCGATGTTTCTCTCTCATCGATGTTTCTAGCTCTCTATCCCTCTCCCTTCCTCCCTGTTCACCATGCACTCCAGACAAGGTGCAGCGAGGTGCATCGGGCGTCCTTCAGCCCATTGACCAGGTGGGAAGACCGAGGCCCAGAGGGAGGCTGTGAGGCCAGGTAAGTGGCAGCTCCCTGGTCAGCAGGCCCCCCCATTCGCCCCCCCCCCCCCCCCAGGCTCTGTTCCTCAAGGGCGGAAAGCCTCCTAAGCCGCCAGCTGGGAGTCAGGGCGAGGCTCCTAAGTGTGAAGAGAGGTGTAAGAACGGGATTAGTTCTCCACGCGGCTGCCGGGCCTCCTGGGACCCGCGGGCAGGGCCGGGCGGCTGGCGAGGACGCCGGCGGTGACCTCAGGGCTGTGCCGGCGCCGGGCGGGCCCGCGGCCAGGACGCCGGCTCACTTTCTGCAGCTTCTGCTTCTCGCCCAGGCCCCGGCCGGGGGCCAGGGTCTGCCGCCCAGGGCGTCCCAGGAGATCCATCTCAAGCCCCCGCACCCCGCACCCCGCACCCCGGGAGGGCGAGGAGACCCTGCCCCCGCCCCCCGCCCCCCACCCGCGGTTCCTCCCCCGGAGCCTTCCGGGCGGCGGCCGGCCGGAGGGCGATGTCCTGGGCCCCGGCCACGGTTCTCCCGGGTTAATCGCCACCGCAGGGAATGTGAGCCGGCCCTGTTTCCCTACAACAAGCCTGTCGCCTGGTGGGGTAATCGCCCGCTTTCTCAGGTGACAGCGGCTGCCGGCCCGGGGAGACATGTCCTCAGTCTGGGGGCGCCGCCTCCCCCAGAGGCTCCGGACCGGGGAGCAGGGTGGCCGGGCAGCGACGGACGGACAGCCGGAGGGTGAGGTCTGCCCGTGAGTGGGTCCGGGGGAGCCTGCGGGGCCCCCTCGCCAGCCCGCCCCCCTTGGCTGACCTCCCCCTGCCCCCCACTTGTCCTTTGAGGGGACAGGGGCAAACGTCTCACCTTTCCCGCTCTGCTTAACGAGCCCGGCCCCTCCGGGCACTTCGCACGTCGTAGACACCTGACGCCTGTTTGTTGATTCACACGCCCGCTGCCCGCCTGGCCCGTTCGCCCTGTCCCCCTTCCAGAGGAGCCTGTTCTCAACCCGGCTGGAATGTTCACCATGCGCTCCGGACAAGTGTCCAAGGTGCTACCAGTCCGCGGGTGAGCGCCCGGGGGGGCCGGGGGCAGGGGGTGCGATTCTCACCTCCGAGATCCATGGGAGCCGGTGAAGGGCCCGGCCTCGTCGCCCATCTCGCCCGGAGCCCCGCGGTGCGACCCAGGGTGAGAGAGAGAGGGGGCCGGAGGCGGGCGAGGACCCCTGGGTGGCCCTTCCCCCCCCCCCCCCCCCGGGTCACCGCGGGGCTGACCTCAGGGCTGACCGTGCAGGCATCCTGACCTTTGGTGCCGAGGAGCAGGTGTGCGAATGAGTCAGGTGCATGGACGGACGGCCCTTTTTGGGTTTTTAAAAAATTTTTATTTTAAAAAAATATATTTTATTGATTTTTTTTAATTTATTTTTTTTTTGCAGAGGGGAAGGGAGAAGGATAGAGAGATAGACACATGGATGAGAGAGAAACATCAATTCAGCTTCCTCCTGCACGCCCCCCCCCAATGGGGGATGTGCCCGCAACCAAGGTACATGCCCTTGACCGGAATCGAACCCGGGACCCTTCAGTCCGCAGGCCGACGCTCTATCCACTGAGCCACACCAGTGAGGGCTAAAATATATTTTTTTTATTGATTTCAGAGAGGGAGGGAGAGGAGAGAGAGAGAAACATCTATGGGGAGAGAGAACCATCGAGCGGCTGTCTCTTGTCCGCCCCACCCTGGGGCCGGAGCCCACAACCCTGGGCATGTGCCCTGACTGGGAATCGAACCCGGGACCCTTCCGTCCGCAGGCCGACGTTCTATCCGCTGAGCCACACCAGCCAGGGCGGGAACAATGACTTCTACGTAGAAGGCACCCCAAGACACGGACCCCTGCAGGATTTATTCTGGTCTAACGGCCAGCCAGCCTGGGGAGACCCCGGGTTGGGTGTGAGCCACGCAGCACGGAGCCATGTCTCCCGTGGCCACCAGAGGGCAGTGCGGGCCGCTCATGACAATGACATTGACACCCCCCCCCCCCTTCCAAATGTTACCCACTCGCCTGGTTCCGAGCTGCTTAAAAAAAAAAAACTATATAAAAGGGGACGATTTTCGACCTTTTTCATCTCTCAGCACGCGTGCGCTAGTCACTCGCATGCCGCGGCGCACCGAAACGCACGTTTTATGGTTTTCAGGTCTGTTGGCTCACATCCCTAACTGGCATTTCAAGATTTTTTGAGGACAAAGCCCCTGAACCCGTCTTTATTGACATCGCTGTGGCTGCCTGCTCCTTCCGTACGAAATGCTTCCTCTTGAACATAGCAGGACGGAGCCCCCCTCGCCCCTCTCTGGACCCCGAGAAGCGCGGCGGCTTCTCGGACCCTTCCCGTTACACGTTCGGGAAGCCCGACGGTCCCTTTTCGCGTCCGCTCGGGGTTGAAACTTGCCACCTGGTCCCTTGCGCAAAGCGCCTGCGCCCCGGCGAGGGCGGGCCCTGTTGCCTGGGCGACAGCCCGGTGGGGCTGACGGGCTGCGGCAGCGGCCAATAGGAGCGGGGAGGGGCGGGGCCGGCTGGGTCCGGCGCACGCGCGCGCGCACGCCGCGGGGGTTCGCTGGGGAGCGGACGGGCGTGGGGGGAGGGGTGCGCGATCGGGGCGGACGGGGGGTCCCCGCGTGACCCCAGAGCTCGGGTGTGAAGGGCGCCGGCCTGGCCGACGGGTCAGGGCTCCCGGATTCTGCGTCCAGGTCTCTGATCGGGCCCTGGTCGGGCCGAGGCGGTGGGGGGCCGCGGGGCGGGGATCAGCGGGCCCGGGAGGGGATCAGGGGGGCTGCGGGGCGCCCCCTCTTTCTTCCGGGCTCCTCGAGGCGGTGGGGGGCCGCGGGGCGGGGATCAGCGGGCCCGGGAGGGGATCAGGGGGGCTGCGGGGCGCCCCCTCTTTCCTCCGGGCTCCCCGAGGCTGGTGGGGGGCGGAATCGCTGCCCTGGGCGCCGGGTCCATCGAGGAGTCCCAGGGGCCCGGGCGCCCAGTCTCCCTCCACCCCACCCCCACCCCGCTGACCCCCGGCCCCGCTGACCCCAGCCCCGCTGACCCGGCCCCGCTGACCCCGGCCCCGCTGACCCCGGCCCCGCTGACCCGCCCCCCTCCGCAGGTGTCCGCCTCCGGCCCCAGGATGGCCAGCGCGAAGCTCCTGTGCGTGGTGGCGGCGCTCGGCTGCCTGCTGGCGCCCCGGGTCCGGGCCAACAAGGTGAGGGCGGGGCCTGGGCACGGGGACGGGCTGTGGACGGGGCGCCGCCCGCCCCCTGCAGGGGCCCTGCCTGGGGGGTGGGGGTGAGGGGACGCGTGGGTTCCAGCCTGGGGTTCTGGGGTGGGGGGACCCCCTGAGTTGTCCACACTTTCCTTTGGCTCCGGGGTCCCCTAGGGGGTCTAGTAACTATAGCAACGCCCTCTGGGTGTCAGGTCCTCCCCAGGGGGAGGGTCTCTGTTGTTTTTTAATATTTTATTGGGTTTTTTTTTAAATATATATTTTATTGATTTTTCACAGAGAGGAGGAGAGAGATAGTTAGAAACATCGATGAGAGAATCATCGATCAGCTGCCTCTTGCACACCCCCCACTGGGGATGTGCCCGCAACCAAGGTACATGCCCTTGACCGGAATCGAACCCAGGACCCTTCAGTCCGCAGGCCGACGCTCTATCCACTGAGCCAAACCGGTCCCGGCTATTGGTGTTTTTTTTTACAGAGAGGGAGGGAGAGGGAGAGAGAGTTAGAAACATGAGCAAGAAACCTTGATCAGCTGCCTCCTGCACACCCCCGCCCCCCACTGGGGATGCGCCCGCAGCCAAGGTCCATGGTACAAGGTACAGCCAAGGCGATCTCGTTGGATTTTTAAAATATATATATTTTATTGATTTTTTACAGAGGGGAAGAGAGAGGGAGAGTTAAAAACATCGATGAGAGAGAAACATCCATCAGCTGCCTCCTGCACACCCCACACTGGGGATGTGCCTGCCACCAAGGTCCATGCCCTTGACCGGAATCGAACCCGGGACCCTTCAGTCCGCAGGCCGACGCTCTATCCACTGAGCCACACCGGCCAGGGCTCGTTGGCTTTAAGTGATTCATAAACCAGGCAGCGCGACCTGGTAGCTAGAAGGGTGCTCCGAGGGGGGCGGTGGGTGGGGGTACAGGGAGGAAGGATTTTCCGGGGAGAAGGTGGGGAAGGGAGCTGTTGACAAGGGGATGGGGGAAATGGGTTTTTGGGGGCCTGGACGTCTTTGGGGGAGAGGAAGGGGCGGTGTTCTGTTCTGTGGGGGACGGAGAGGAACCAGGTGGCAGGTGACCTGCCCGGCAAACCCCTGATTGGTCGACTAAGACGTTTCCGGGAAAGACCGACCACTGTTCGGCCGGGAATGTATCCCGGGTTTGGGGCCCCTCGGGAACCCCTAACTGGGGTGAGAGTACCTGTGGCCTCGTCCCTTACGGCTTCAGAGGGGCAGCTTGCCTCTCCCCGTGGGAGCCACCCACTCTGTCCCCCTCACCCCGTTCCTTAAAGCGGGGGAGAGGCCAGCCCCCAGGGCGACTGAACTGAGGGGCACACACAAGTGTGGGCGCGGGTCACCGGCTCCCCGATCCTTCACCGACCTCCGGGGCGGTACCTCTGTGCCTCCTCTGCCCCGGGGCAGCCCCCCTGCAGAGGTGGGGGGGGACCTGATCCGGGTACGTGGGGCCGGTGAAGGCCCCATCCCCTGGCGGGCCGCCTCCCGGAGGGAGCAGGGAGCCCAGAGTCGGAGTCGCGGGGGCCCTGCGCCCGGGCCCCCTGACGCCGGCCCCGCCCGCAGAGCTCCGAGGACATCCGGTGCAAGTGCATCTGCCCGCCGTACCGCAACATCAGCGGCCACATCTACAAGCAGAACGTGTCGCAGAAGGACTGGTGAGGCTGGGCGTGCAGCAGGGCTGCAGCGGGGCCCGGGGGCGGGGGTCCCTCACGCTCGGGGTGGGCCGAGGCAGGGCCGGGGCCCGGGGTGCAGGGAGCGTTTCTACCACGGGGTCCTCAGGAACCAGGCGCCCCATCTTTGCCTCGTCGCGCGCGCGCGCGCGCGTGCGTGCGCGCGCGCGTGCGCGCCCGTGTGCGCGCCTGTGTGTGGTAAGACCATTTAAAATCTCTCGCAACTTAAAAAAAAAAAAAAATATATATATATATATATATATATATATATATATATATATATATATATATTTAAAATTTTTATTTCAGAGAAGGAGGGAGAGGGAGAGGGAAACATCGATAATGAGAGAGAGAATTTTGGATCAGCTGCCTCCTGCACACCCCACACTGGGGATGGAGCCCACAACCCGGGCCTGGGCCCTGATCAGGAACGGAACCCTGACTTCCTGGTTCATAGGTCAACGCTCAACCTGCCGGCCGGCTCAGCATATCTCGAGTGTACAGTACACTTTTTTTTTTTTTAATGCATTTTATTGATCTTTTACAGAGAGGAAGGGAGAGGGAGAGAGAGCTAGAAACATGGATGAGAGAGAAACATCCATCAGCTGCCTCCTGCACACCCCCCACTGGGGATGTGCCCGCAGCCAAGGTCCATGCCCTTGACGGGAATCGAACCCGGGACCCTCCAGCCCGCAGGCGGATGCTCTGTCCGCTGAGCCACACCGGCTAGGGCTACAGCACACTGTTAACTGCCTTCACCTGCTGTCCGTCGGACCCCCAAAGGTTTTAGCTCAGGAGGCCCCGGGACCCCGTCTGGGTGGTCACCGTTCAGAGGGCGCCGGGTACGAGCCGAGGGACGCCGGCCCTCACCGGGCGCCCACGCCCACGCCCACGGCCGTGGTGTCTGTTGCAGCAACTGCCTGCACGTGGTGGAGCCCATGCCGGTGCCCGGGCATGACGTGGAGGCCTACTGCCTGCTGTGCGAGTGCCAGTACGAGGAGCGCAGCACCACCACCATCAAGGTGACCGCGGGCTCATTCCGGGACGTTCCGGGCCCTGTGGGACCGCCCCTGGGCGGGCCTGTCCCAGGCAGGCACGGGGACCCACTGGCCGCCCCTCGACCCAGCCGCCCTGGGACCTCTGTCCGGGGCGCCCCTTACTCTGGGGGTGCGAGCCTGGGAGGCGCCTGCAGGGCCGAAGCTGGCTTTTCTGTAAAACAACTCAGTGGGAGCCTCTCCCTACAGCAGGGGATGGGCGGTCGCCGTCCTGCCCCTGGCCCTCCGCTCCCTGCTTCCCTCTCAGCCGGCCTGCTCCTAGCGATGGGGGTGGTACCCCCAGGTCTATTCTCCTCGGCCTCGGACCCCAGGCCCTGCCTGGCCCCCTCCCCACCACCCCATAGTGTCCACGCTTTCCACCCTGAGCTGATCCCTCTGCACCCCGCAGGCCCCTTCCTGCCGCCAGCTGGGCCCCCGGGACACCCTGACCCACTCGTCTCCCCATGCCTGTCTCTGGCTGCGGGAGGACGGAGGGCGACCGTGGGTGTCCACAGGGCGCTGCGTCTGGGCAGGGAGGGCGCTGGGGTCTCGGGAGGTCCTGGGTGGCGCCGGCCGAGGCCGTGCTCACGGCGCCTCCCCCAGGTGATCATCGTCATCTACCTGTCGGTGGTGGGCGCGCTGCTGCTGTACATGGCCTTCCTGATGCTGGTGGACCCGCTGATCCGCAAGCCGGACGCCTACACCGAGCGGCTGCACAACGAGGAGAGCGAGGTGAGGGGGGGGGTGCGCACGCGGGGGTGTGAGTGTGTGTGTGTGCGCGAGTGTGTGTGTGAGAGTGTGTGTGAGTGTGTGTGTGTGTATATGTGTGAGTGTATGTGTGTGTGAAAGTGTGTGTGTGAGTGTGTGTGTGTGTGTATGTGTGTGTGTGTGTGTACAAGTGTGTGTGTGTGTCTCCTGTCCTCTGTGTGTGTGTGAGTGTGTGTGTGTGCACGCGAGTGTGTGTGTGAGAGTGTGTGTGTGTGAGTATGTGTGTGTGTGTGTGTCCCGCCGTCCCCCAGCCCTGCGCCCCCTCCTGCTCAGTGTGCCATGCGTCACCCCAACTACTGACGTCAGAGAGGAAGGGAGGGAGAGAGAGGAACATCCATGAGGAGAGAGAGTCACGGACCGGCTGGCTCCTGCACGCCCCTCACTGGGGAGGGAGTCCACAACCCGGGCCTGTGCCCTGACCGGGAACCGAACCCTGACTTCCTGGCTCACAGGTTGACGCTCGACCACTGAGCCACCTGGCCGGGCCCGGCTCCTGTTCTTGCCTCAGGGGGGAGTGGGGCCGCCCTGTGCGCCCCGTGAGGCGGGGGGTGGGGGCCCTGGACAGAGCCGGGGCGGGGGCACCAACGCCGCCCGCGGGAATTTGGGGGTCGGCTCAGAGCATCCCCAGCTCAGGATGGAGGTGGAGGGGCAGGAGGCTCCCGGCCGAGGCTGGAGGGCTCAGGCGGGTCCGGCTGCCTCTGGGCACGTGCCCGCCCACTGCCCGCGGCCCTGCCTCCGGCTCCCGGGGCGGGCAGAGCCGAGCGGCCGTGGGGGGCGCCGGCGCCGGGTGGTCCGTGTGTGGAGGAAGCCGTGCCTACCCGGTTATTAATGCCCCCGGGGCCGGGGGCGCTGATAGTCGCTGGGGCGGAGGCTGAGGCGGTAATTGCAGCCTGGCCGTGTAATTGCGAGGTGCACGCTGATTACAGCCCACGGTCCCGGAATGCACGGCCCCCGGCTCCCGGCTCCCGGCAGCCTCGGCCCCCGGCTCCTGGACGAGGGGCGGGGAGGGGCAGGCCTTTCCCGGGTCTGAGCCGGCCCGGCCCCTGGAGGTGCCCCCACATTGAGTCCGAGCTCTCGGTGCCTCTGGGTGGGGGCCCAAGGGTGGGGCGGGGTCAGTGGGGTCAGTCTGGCTCCTGGAGCAGAACGGGGGGGGGGTCGAGGGTGGCAGGTTTGGGCTGAATAGGAGGGAGGACTGCCCCCCCCCCCACCATGAGGGCCTCGGTGGCCAATGTTGGGGTGCCGGGGGGCAGGGCAGGGGATGCTGGCAGAGGGAGGTGATAGGGCGTCTGAGGCCGGACCTGAGGGCCCAGCTCCACCCAGGGGGTCGGGGGGAGGAGGGTGTCTCCCGGGCGGCGTGAGGGGCCTGGGCTCCTGCCAGCACCCCACGCCACGATGCCCCCACTTGTCGCTCCAGGCGCAGGAGGCGGACGGTGGGGAGGAGGCAGTGGGAGGCGCCATCGGGGGCTCACGCCTCCGTGTGTGAATCTGGGAGGGCCCCCCGGCGGAGGAGGCAGCTCTGAGGACAGTGGCTGCCCGGCTGGGGGGCAGCAGGGCTCCTCCTGGTCCTGGACGGTGAGGGCCCCGCCAGCCCGCCCCCTCCCCTCAGGGCACTGGGGACGGGGTGCCGGGGGTGTGGGGTGAGACAGAACGGCAGGTCCCAGAGCCACTCGGCTGACGGGCGGGGGCGGGGGCGGGGGCCGGGCCCGGGGTCTGGAGAGTTTCACTAAGGGAACAGGAGGGGGCTCCCCCGGGCTGGGGGGGTCTTAGCTTGCACCCCGAGAGGAGGAGCCTCTGGACAGGCCCCCCTCGGCCTCTGCGACAGGGTGACCCCGAGAAGGGAGCTGTCCAGGCCCCCACGCCCCAGCCCCTCCCCGCACCCCACACCCCGCACCCCACGCCCCGCGCCCCACAGCCCACACCCCGCGCCTCGCGCCTTGCGCCCCACAGCCCACACCCCACACCCCGCAACCCACACCCCGCACCCCGCGCCCCCCGCCCCGCACCCCACACTCCACGCCCCGCGACCCCCGCCCCGCGCCCGCGCCCCGCGCCCCGCGCCCCGCGCCCCCGCCCCGCACCCCGCGCCTGCGCCCCGCGCCCGCGCCCCACACCCCGCGCCCCGCGCCCCGCGCCCCGCGCCCGCGCCCCACAGCTCACACCCCGCACCCCGCGCCCCGCGCCCCGCGCCCGCGCCCCACAGCTCACACCCCGCACCCCACACCCCCCGCCCCGCACCCCGCGCCCCGCACCCCGCGCCCCGCGCCCGCGCCGCTCCGCAGATGAAAGCCAGCGTGCCCCTTTGAAAGCGGGCGCCGGGCGCTGGGCGTGGCCTCCGGGATTCCGGCGGCTTTGGGCTAATCCCCGGCTCAGACGCCTCTGAGGGAGGAAGCCAGCGTGTTTGCCGGGACAGAGCGGGGCTGCTCAGAGTGGGGGTTCGTCCTCTTTGAAGAGCGAGCGCCGGGGGTGTGGGCGCGGGGGTGCTGCCCAGGGCCTGGCCCGGTCCCCGCCGGGCGCGGGGACAGCGCGGGGGACCTGCAGGCCGGGGCTGGCGAGGACTCGGGGCCACGAGAACGGCCCTTCCCAGCGAGCGGTGGGCAGCGCCGACTAAGGGCCCCTCGTCCGTCCGTCCGCCCGTCCGTCCGGGGAGAAGGCACAGCCCAGAGGGGCCGCCCTGGTCCTGGGAGGGCGCACGGGGGGGGGGGGGGGGGGGGGCGTCCACGGGCGCCTCCAGCCGAGCCCTGGCCCGCCCGGCGCTGTCCGCGGTGCTGAACCCGGATCCCCTCCCTGAGCCTGGAACCGGCGGCGGTGCTGACCCAGCCCCAGGCCGCGGGCTGGCCCTCGGGGATGAGTGGTGTCCTGAGAGGCCTCGCCCCGCGCGGCCGGGGTTGTGGGAGGGGCGGCCCGGCAGCCGGGGCAGAGGGCAAGCCGCGTGGGAGGCGAGGCCAGGGGTTCGAGGCCCGCCCGCCCGCTCGGGCGCCAGAGACAGGGCCTCGGAGGGGACAGGGCGGGCACACGTGGACCTGCCCTCGGCCGCCATCGCTGCAGAGCCCGCGAGGCCAAGGCCGGGCTGGGCGTCTGGGACACGGACCGTTAGCCCCACGGAGGCGGGGGCTGCAGCTGGGGTCCCGGGGGTGTGGGCATGCTCCCCGATGTGCTGCCCGGGCCCCACCCCCTCCCGGGCAGAAGGAGCCGCAGGCTGAGCCTCTCCTGCCCCCCAGCCCCCCAGGAGGGACGAGTTGGGCCGGGGGGGGGGGCTGAGGGAGGCCCTAAGGCCTCAGCGTCCACCTCGCCCAGACGCCACGCCGAGGCCCGTCCGTGGCACCGGGCAGCGAGCGCCCACCGGGCAGTGCCCACAGGGTGCGTGGCCAGCCCTGCGGGGCAGGGAGCACCTCCAGCCTCCCCCCTCGCCAGGCCCCTCTGCCGCTGCCCGCTCCCGGCCCCCCACGCTCCCCTGGCACCCCCTCTCCCCGCCCTCTCCCCGCCCGGCAGCTGCGTGGCGACAGAAGCCGTGCCAGCGGGCGCTCGCCGGGCGCTCTGTGCCGGGAGCCGCGCTAATCCCCCCGAGCCCGTGGCAGGAGATGAGAGGCCGGGGGCCGGGAGGAAATCCCCGCGCGGGGGGGCTCGGCTCTAATTCCCCCGAGATCAGCGCGGCCGCAGGAAGTGAGGGGCGTCAGCCGGCGAGGTGGTAATTAGGGCGGATGTGCCTCGGAGGGCGGGAGGAGGCCCGGGAGCAGGCCCGGGAGCACGGGGACGGGGGCTCCTCTGTCCCAGGAGCAGGGACCGGGAGGCGGGTCCGGCCCCGGGGTCCCATCCCTGCCCCCTGCCCTCTGCCCCCTGCGTGGCATCTCGTCCACCCAGCAGCCCCCTCGGGGGACCCTCCGCTCCCCTCCTCCCACCCACAGCCTCTCGCTGCCCCCGTGACCTCTGGGGGCCACACTCGGGCTCCCTCTCCTGCGGAGGCCCAGCCCTGGCCGGTGTGGCTCAGTGGGTAGAGCGTCGGTCTGCAGACCGAAGGGGTCCTGGGTTCGATTCCGGTCCAGGGCGCATGCCGGGTTCCCAGTGTGGGGCGTGCAGGAGGCAGCCGATGGGTGATTCTCGCTCGTCATGGATGTTTCTCTCTCTCTCTCTCCCTTCCTCTCTGAGATCAATAAAAATATATAAAATAAATAAATAAGGGGCCCAGGCTCCGCAGGGGGCGGGGGTCAGGGGTCAGGGGTCGTCCTGCAGACTCCACACCTGGGGGGTCGCACCGGCGGGCCGGGCTCTACGGGGACCACGGCCGTGGGGAGGGGCCTGCCCTGGGGGCCCGGACCTCGGGCGGCTCCCGAACCCCCCTCTCCCCTTCCTCCCGCAGGACGCTCGCTCCGCGGCCGCCGCCGTGGCCTCGCTGGGCGGCGCCCGGGCCAACACGGTGCTGGAGCGTGTGGAGGGCGCACAGCAGCGCTGGAAGCTGCAGGTGCAGGAGCAGAGGAAGACCGTGTTCGACCGGCACAAGATGCTCAGCTAGGCGGCCGCCGGCCTCTGCCAGGGACCGGCCACGGGACCGGCCACGGGACCGGCCACGGACCGGCCACGGCCACGGCCACGCCGCCCCCACCCTACAGCCCCGCCCGGGCCGGCCCCACGGCAGCACCGGGGCGTCCTGGTCTCCGTGGCCACGTTCCCGCTGGTGTAACCGGGGAGCGTGGGGCCCCGGCCTCCAGCCCATCCGCTCAGGTCTCCGTGGCCCCGGGAGGGGGCGGAGGGCGGGGGGGGCGGTTTCGGGCGCCACGTTTCCAGCCCCACAAGTCTGAGTGTCCTCGCGCCCCGGGAGGCAGATCCAGGCCCCTGCCACTCCCCGTGGGGACGCGTGGTGCCTGCAGCGCCCTCTGGAGGCCCGGCTTCCCGCCCAGGAGCAGGCAGGGCTATGCTCGGGGCCTGCCCTCACCGCCCCTCTTCAGGATGGGGGGGGGGCGCAGGCTCCAGGGACACAAGAGGCTCTGAGCACCAGCCCCGTCCCAGCTGCAGGGCCCTGGTCCCCGCGGCCTGTCGGTCCGGAAGCCGCCATTAAACCTCTCCCTCGATGTGACTGAGTGTGACGTGTGCCCGGTGGGTGCCGGTCCAGGGGAGGGCCAGGCAGGGACGCTGGGCAGACGCCGCTCACAGGGCCGTCCTCTGTGTGTGGGGGGGGAGGGGCTCGGGAACCACCTGAGAGGCCCTGTCCGTCACGTCCGGGACAGCCCCCTGCAGCTCTGAGGGTGGAGCCCGGGGTGGGGGGTCCCTGGGGAGAGGGGGCTCCGTTGGGGAGATTGGCCCAAGTTCAGAGCCAGGAGGAACAAACGCCAAAGGGGAGCAGAGACGGGTTGGCCCCAGCTGGCAAGGGACCCGGTCTGAGGGTGCAGAGTCCATGGTGGGGCTCTGCCAGCGAGACGTGGGGTGGGGGGGGGGGCTGGCAGGAGGTCCATGTGGGGAGACCAGAGGACACAGCTCCCTGCGTGAGCCCCACACCGACACCTGCCGGCCCTCCTGGGCTGCTCTGGATGCTCCTGGGCCCTGCATCCCGTTGCCACGGCGACACTGTCTCAGGAGCAGCCTGACTTCCTGCCGCTCACAGACCCAGCCCACCCCCTCAGGCCGGGGACCCTCCTGCGCTCACCCTGAGGGCCCCTCCACCTTCCCCCTCTGAGCGGGCCTCCTGTGGTGTCCAGGGTGGGGAGGGTGATGGTACAGGGCATCCTCGGCCCCTGGCGTCCCCAGGCACGGAGCTGAGCCGGCTGGGGGTGCCGAGCTCCTCGATCAGGGTGGACATCGAGGGTAGGGCTCTAGCTGCGAGTTAGGAGCCCTGGTCCCACCTGGCCCACTGAGTGACCTGGAGCAGCGGGCCCCCTCCCTGTGCCTCAGTTTCTCCCAACTGAGAGAGAGGAGATTAAACTCACCTGCATCCGGCGTGGGGCGGAGCCCCGAGTAGCACGGTAGCTCTAAGGGCATGCACCCGTCTGAGCGAACATTGGGAAAACCGGTGTCGTTAGCTGCAAGGCCTGATGGGTATTTGTGTGGCAAGGCCTGATGGGTATTTGTGTGGCAAGGCCTGATGGGTATTCGTGTGAAGGGCGTAAAGGGGCGGAGGGTGTGTACAGGCCGGGGTGGCTCCGTGCTGGAGCTTTTTGACCTGTGAACCAGGCGGTCATGGTTCAGTTCTCATCAGGGCACAGGCCCGGGTGGCAGGCTCGGTCACCAGTAGGGGGCGTGCAGGAGGCAGGCGGTCCAGGATTCTCTCTCATCACTGGTGTTTCCGTTCTCTCTTCTTCCTCTCTGACATCAATAATACGTTTATTTAGGAGAAAACCTTAGCCAAGCACTCGGCGCCCTTGGCTGGGCCGGCACGCTGGGAGGACTTGGGTGTCTATGGAGACCACCTCTGGCTGCTGCCTCCGTCCCGGGCTCCCCATGGGGTCACGGGGCGCAGACCAGACGCTTAGGGGACCCCACACTGCAGCCTCCTGGTCCCAGGTCCAGCCGTGAGCATCCAGGGGTCACCTTCTAGCTCCTGACACCCCAGCCGATGCCATCGGAGCCTCTCGGAGGGGCTCCCTAACCTGGGGTTCCCCCGCGAGAGCCCCCCGTTTTCCTGCCCGCACACACCGGGCACCCCCTCGGCTCCACCCTTCACCTCCTCCCGGGGCCATCCCTCCTGGGCACTCTGCAGGCAGCGCCCGCGGGCACCAGGTCTCCCCCCCCCCCCCCCCGGACTCCGGGGCCAATCAGGAGGCCTGGAGCGGCTGGGGCGGGTCCCAGATCAGAGGGGCCCCCTGCCCTCCGCCCTCCCCTTCTGGGTGTGTCCCTTTGAAGCCGCGCAGGTACAGCTACCTGGTCCTGGGCCGCGGGGGGCGCGGGACAGAGGCTGCTGGAGCCGGCCAGGCGGGCGGGCGCCCCGCCGTCCCCGCCCAGAGTCCCTGCCGAGCACCGAGGAGCCAGCCCAGAGGTAACCGCACGCAGGCGGCCAGGGCAGGCCGGCCGGGCCGGGACGCAGGGCCAGGGACGCACTGGCGGGGGCTCGGCCGCCAGAGGGAGCCCAGGCTGGGGAGGGGGAGCCGGGCCGCAGAGGGCACTGCCCGTGGGCCGGTCCGATACCCCAGAGACCGAAGCACCTTTTCCGGGTGGACACCTGCCAGGGGTGCCCGGCCAGAAGCAGGGGTGAGGGGGGGGGACTGTCCGGTCCGTGGCTTGGACATCACTGACCGGCCCTTTGCTCTCAGCTTTGAGCTGGTCCTGGGAGCCCGGGCCTCAGGGGGTTGGGGGGGTCGGGGCTTTGGGGGGGAGTGGGGGTGCACAGGGTGATGGACGGGAGTTGGAGTGTGGAATTTCCCCATAGACTTCGCCCTGGACAGGGGGACGTGGGCAGCCGCTGGGCGTGGGCGTCCGCGCTGTGCCCCTCGGGGCGCTTCCCGAGGCGGCCCCGCCTCGCTGGCAAGCCCCCTCCGTGTCCCCGAAGACGACGCCCCCCCCCCCCCCCCACACACACACACACACGGGCAGTTAGAATGCGGAGTTCAAACCTCCACGCACCCCTCCTGGACCTGGAATCCCATCCACCTGCTGCCGTTGCTCCTCGCGGACACACGGGGGCGCTGTTGGCCACCGGTTCTGCCCGGTCCATGGACCTGGGGGACGGACCAGGTCCCGCCAGGCTTTTTTTGGGGGGAGGGTCCCGCCTCTGAGGCAAGGGGGCTCCTCGTCAGGCTCCCAGGGGCGCCCCACCACCACCAGAGCCAACGTTCAACTACCCACAGGAATCCCTCCCACAGGAATCAGGATTGACTTATTTTTAAAATATATAATTTTTTAAATTGATTTCAGAGAGGAAGGGAGAGGGAGAGAGAGATAGAAGCATCAGTGATAAGCATGGATCCTCTGCCTCCTGCACACACACCCCTCCCTCCAATGGGGACGGAGCCCCAAACCCGGGCCTGTGCCCTTGACGGGGCATCGAACCCTGACCTCCTGGTTCCTAGGTCAACGCCAACCACTGGTCAACACGGCCGGGCGGCGCTGAATTTCCGTGGCAAGGGGTCCGCGCGCCCCTGGGGGGGCCTGCAGGGCCGGTATCCCCCCTACAAAGCCTGGGACACCCCACTGGAGGCGGGGTGACCGGCCGCCATCGCGGGGGGCTCGCCTGACCCCTGTGTCCGTGTGTCTGTCCCCCTCCGCAGGGCGCTCTCCGGACCCTCTGCGCGCAGCCAACGCGGCCGGTGCCCGGCGCCCCGGGGACCAGCGAGGAGCCAGGCCCGGCCCGGCCCCGGGTTCGCGCCCCCGGGAGGCGCCCTCGGGTGCCCACGCCCCGCGGAGGAGGAGGAGGGTGCGGCCCGGGCTGGGTCCCCGCCCCGAAGCACCCCGGCCCGCGGCGATGGCGCCCCGTAGCCGGCCGGCGGCCGGCGCCCCGGGGCGCGCGCACCCCTGACCGCCCTGGAGCCCCGCGGCGGCCTCTGGGCCTGGGACCCGGCCCCGCCCTGGGGGCGCGCGGAGCCCGGGCACGGCGGACGCAGGGCCGGCCCGGCCCCGGGCGCAGCGGCCCCCGGCGGCGGCGGCGCCATGGACCGCGGACACCGGGCCCCGAACGGCCACGCCTGCCGGGCGCTGGTGCAGCGGGGCCCCGCGGCGCCCCCCGGCGGCGGCCTGGACCGCGGACACCGGCCGCTGCCCGCGGGGCCCCCGGGCGCCCTGCCCCTCCTGCTGCTCCCGGGCCCCGTGCCCGGCGCGCGCCCGCCGCCCTGCGCGCCCGGCGCCCCGCAGCCCGGCCTCGGCCTCAAGCGCAACGAGCGCGAGCGGCACCGCGTGCGCTGCGTCAACCAGGGCTTCGCGCGCCTCCGCGGGCACCTGCCGCGCGCGCCGGCCGGGCGGCGCCTCAGCAAAGTGGAGACGCTGCGCGCCGCCGCCCGCTACATCCGGCACCTGCAGGAGCTGCTGCGCGCCGCGCCCCCGGGGTCCGAGCCCCCGCGCCCCGAGCCCCCGCGCGACGCCCCGCCGGGCCCGGAGCCCGGGGAGTCCGGCCAGTGACGGCGGGCCCGGCGCCCCGGACGCCCTCCTCCCCGCCCCGCCCGCCTCTGGTGCCAGCCGAGCCGGTGGGTGCGAGGGGCCAGCCGGACTGAGGAGCAGCGGGGCATCGGCCGCGGGAGGGCGCCCTGGACCGGCTCCCGAGGACTGGGCGGCTGCGGGGTGCGCGCGGCCTCTGGGCGCGGGCACAGCTCCGGTCCGCGGGGCCCAGCAGGCGAGTCGGTTCGGATGCGCCTGCCCCGCTCGCCACCAGGTGGCGTCCAACCCCGCGCGCATGGGAGCTGGTGCGCGTGTGCACACACACACACACACACACCCACCCCTACATGCATGCATGCATACATACACATGCACATGCACATACATACACACACACCCGCACGCGCGCGCGTGGCGCTCTTCCGCCTCCACCCCAGCCTGGCCGCCTCCTGCCTCTGGGCCCCGCTGGTGAGGCCTGATCCCCGCAGCCTTGGGCGGGCCTCTGGCCGGGCACCCAGGGGGCATGTGGGCACCGCTGGCACCGAAGGATGAAATAAAATACGTGCTGAGCTTTGATGCCTGGGCCGCAGTCTGCCCTCGTGTGCCCTGTGTCTCTCTCCTTCCCCCGCCGCCGTGGTGCGGGGTGCGGGCTGTGGGGAGTGGGGTGCGGGGTGCGGGCTGTGGGGAGTGGGGTGCGGGGTGTGAGGTTCAGGGTGTGGGGTGCGGGGTGCGGGGTGCGGGGTGCGGGGTGCGAGGTTCAGGGTGTGGAGTGCGGGGTGCGGGCTGTGGGGAGTGGGGTGCGGGGTGCGGGGTGCGGGGTGTGAGGTGCAGGGTGTGGGGTGCGGGCTGTGCGGAGTGGGGTGCGGGGTGCGGGTTGCAGGGTGCAGGGTGTGGGGTGCGGGGTGCAGGGTGTGGGGTGTGGGGTGCAGGGTGTGGGGTGCGGGGTGCGGGCTGTGGGGTGTAGGTGCTCTCCGCCACTTTACAGGGAGCTGAGCATGCCCCCTGCCCCCCAGGGACAGAGAGAAAGCAGAGGGGAGGGGGCACCGAGCCGAGGGCACCTCGGGGTGCGGCTGAGGCTGTGCTGAGGGGGGCTCCACAGAGGTTCCCTTCCCCAAGGGGGCTGTTCCTGGCGAGCAGGGAACCAGTCTGTCTGTGGGGGGGGGGGGCTCTGTATCGGGTCCCCCCTTCCTGAGGTGTGGCCTGCCTGGACCCTCCATCCCGGCCCCCCTGCCCACCGGGCCGGCCATCAGCTCCCCGCCCCCAGCCTCCGGGGCCGCTGTGACAGCTGCCTGGCCTCAGGGCTAATTTTACTCCTGGGAGGAGCCCCACCCTGCGCGCCGGCCAGTCCCTCGGCCAGGCCCAGCCAGGCGAGGGCACGGGGACGCGGGGAGAAGGGGGCGCGGGCGCGGGGAGCCGGACGGACAGCCCGTCGCCGCGGACACCATGGAGCCGGCCGCCCCCCAGGACGAGGGCCAGAGGAAGAAGCAGCCCAAGAAGCCTGCGCCCGAGGTGCTGCCACGGCCGCCCCGGGCCCTGCTGTGCCTCACGCTGGACAACCCGCTGCGCAAGGCCTGCATCAGCGTGGTCGAGTGGAAGTATCCTCGGCGGGGGCCGGGCGGCACGCGCACCGGGCGCGGGGCCACCGGGGCCGGAGACGGGGGGCTGTCCCCGGGGAGCCTCTGGGACCAGAGACGGGGGGCTGTCCCCGGGGCACTGGGCGTGGGGGCCACCGGGGCCGGAGACGGGGAGGGGGGAGGGCTGTCCCCGGGGCACCGGGCGCGGGGCCACCGGGGCCAGAGACGGGGGGCTGTCCCCGGGGAGCCTCTGGGACCGGAGACGGGGGGGAGGGCTGTCCCCAGGGAGCCTCTGGGACCAGAGACGGGGGGCTGTCCCCGGGGCACCGGGCGTGGGGGCCACCGGGGCCGGAGACGGGGGGGGGGGCTGTCCCCGGGGAGCCTCTGGGACCAGAGACGGGGGGCTGTCCCCGGGGCACTGGGCGCGGGGCCACCGGGGCCGGAGACGGGGGGGGGGGGGCTGTCCCCGGGGAGCCTCTGGGACCGGAGATGGGGGGGCTGTCCCCAGGGGGCCACTCAGGACTAGAGACGCGGAGGCTGTCCCGGGGGCCGCTGGGACGGAGGCGGCGGTGGTGGGGGCGGAAGATGGGGGGCTGGCGAAGGCCAGGTGCCCCCTGGACGCCCGTGGCAGGCGGGGCGCTCGGGGGCTGCTGTCCACATCGCCTGGGGCCCCCTTAGGTTTCCGAAGCAGCAGCCCCCTTTCTGAGCGAGGACGGCGGACAGCGAAGGGGGGGGGGGGCTGCAGGGAATCCTTCCCCTTGATGGGAGGGGGAGAGGGGGAGAGGGGAAAGAGAGAGGAGCTGAGTAGGACCCGCTGCTGGGGGGGGGGGGGGGGGGGACCGGGCGTCCAGGCGCAGGCCGGCACCCCACCTGGGCCAGGAGGTGCTGGAGACCCCCCCGCTGTGGCATGGGCTCCGGGAGGGGGAGCGAGGGTGTCTGGGTTCCTCGGGGGGAGGCAGGGAGGAGGGAGGAGCGGAGAGGACCGTCAGGGAGGGTCGGGAATATTTGAGATGTTTCTGAAGGGCTTGGGCCAGCTGTTCTGGGCGGGATGGGGGTGGGGGTGGCGGGCGAAGAGGCGGACTCGGGAACCGTGGGCCCAGGTCGGGGCCAGCCCTGCCCCCACAGCTGCTCGCACCCCACCCAGTCCCCACCCCGTCCCCCACCCATTCCTTCACACAGTCCCCCATCCAGCCCCCCATCCGGTCCCCCATCTGGTCCCCCATCTGGTCCCCCACCCAGTCCCCACCCCATCCCCCACCCATTCCCCCACCCAGTCCCCCACCCAGTCCCCCCGCCCAGTCCCCCATCCAGTCCCCACCCCGTCCCCCACCCAGTCCCCATCCAGTCCCCCATCCAGCTCCCCATCCGGCCCCCCATCCGGTCCCCCATCCAGTCCCCATCCAGCCCCCCATCCAGTCCCCCATCCGGACCCCATCCAGTCCCCATCCAGCCCCCCATCCAGTCCCCCATCCGGACCCCATCCGGTCCCCCATCTGGTCCCCCATTCGGTCCCCCATCCAGTCCCCCATCCAGCTCCCCATCTGGTCCCCCATCCGGTCCCCCATCCAGTCCCCCATCCAGCTCCCCATCTGGTCCCCCATCCGGTCCCCCATCCAGCTCCCCATCTGGTCCCCCATCCGGACCCCATCCGGTCCCCGGGTCCGGTCAGGTGTGATGGGGGGTCTCCTCCCTCCTGGCGGGGCCTCTCTCCCAGCTCTGCACCTGCAGCCTCTGGGGAACGGGGTGCCACCCCCTCTTCTTTCTCTTAAAAAAAATTGTTTTAAAATATATTTTATAGATTTTTTTACAGAGAGGAAGGGAGAGAGAGAGAGTTAGGAACTCCACGGAGCCAAACCGGCTTAGACTAAAATGAATTTTTTTAAATGTGTTTTTATGGATTTATTTTGGAGAACGAGGGAGGGAGAGGAATAGAGAAACAGAAACACCAATGAGAGAGACTCCCTGACCGGCTGCCTCCCGCACGGCCCTCCTGGGGAGGGAGCTCGCACCCGGCCTGTGCCCTGATGGGAAGCGAACCCTGACCGCCTGGCTCACAGGTGGACGCCCCAGCCCGGAGCCACGCCCTGGCCGGCCTGGGGAGCGTGTCTGGGGGGATGAGGGATCTGGGGGTGCCGGTCCAGGGGCTGGTCAGCCCCTCCGTCCTCAGGGGTCACCGGCCCACCTCCCCTTTTCCAGGCAGGGGGCTCAGCAGGCACCCGGCCTGCCCCCATCCGCCCCCTTTCTCCGGGGGAGCCCTCCCCTGCTCCGTGGTCCGGCCAGAGGGCAGGGGGTGGGGGGCGGAGGCTGAGAGAGGAGCCCACAGGCTCCCTCAGAGCTGAGGTGCCTCGGCCAGAACAGGGCCCCGCGGCAGCCTCCGAGCCGGGAGCGAGCTCCCTGCTCCCCGAGACCCGGGACCAGGCCCCCCTCCGCCTGCGGGGCCACCGCCAGCATGACAGCCTCCTCTAGGCTGACCCTGCACCCCGAAACCCGCGCCTCCCTCGGGGAGCTCTCCTTAACCCCGGCCCCCAGGCCCTTCGAGACCATCATCCTGCTGACCATCTTCGCCAACTGCGTGGCCCTGGCCGTGTACCTGCCCATGCCCGAGGACGACAACAACAGCCTGAACGTCGGCCTGGTGAGTGGCCTGCCCCCCTCCCCCGCCCCCGCCCCCGCCCTGGGCCTGTGCCGGGCGAGGGGCCCCCAAGGACAGGGCTCCCCAAACCACCTGCAGGCCCTCTGTCCCCGGCCGGCCGCTCCCCTGGATCCGGTGACGTGGCCAGCCCGCCCCTCCAGGGGGCACACCGTGCCCAGCCCCGCGGAGAAGTCCCATTTCACAGATGCGGAAACTGAGGCCTCGGGGCTCAGCCAGGGAGTGAGGGGGCTGCGTGCCCGCGTCCCCTCCTGGATAGAATCAGGAGGGCCTGTTCCCACTGAGGACGGGCAGCTGAGGGCCTTTCGGGGTCCTGCACCCCTTTCTCCTTGCCCCCCTCCCCCACCTGTAACCCGTGATAGAACCACATACAGCTGGAGGGACGGTCCCACCTCCTCCACCTCCTCCCCATGGATTAGGGGAGAGAAAACAGGTGTACACTGAAGGACACACGCACCCACAGCCAGAGACTCATATAAATACTTAAAAAAAAAACCCACTTTATATAGATAGATAGACAGACAGACAGATAGACAGATTTCAGAGAGGAAGGGAGACGGGGAGAGAGAGAAACATCCACGAGGAGAGGGAATCATGGACCAGCTGCCTCCCACACGCCCCCCACTGGGGATCGAACCCACACCCGGGGCCTGTGCCCCGACCGGGAGTCGAACCCTGCCCTCCTGGTTCCGAGGTGGACACTCAGCCACGGAGCCACGCCGGCCGGCCTGGATGAGTTTAATGGTGGTCAGTACTGCCCAGTGTGGGGGTGGCCCCTCCCGGGCCTCACCGTGGCCCCGCCCCTAACCCAGCCCCCGGGGCCTTGCTGGGCTCAGGTTGCTGCCTTTTTATAGGGTCAGGAATGCGCCAGGCAGCGCGGCTCCCTCGGAGGGCCCGGCCAGGAGCCAGGACCTGTGGGCGGCCCTGGCTCAATGGCCCGAGGCCCCCCCTCTACACCGCCTGCTCCCCCAGAGGCACCAGCGCTTGTCCCACCCCCACCCCACCCCCACCCCCACCCCCACCCCCGGAGCGTGGACGGGGACCCCCAGCAGCCCGCCCCCTGTGCCCTCCGCCTCCACGCTGGCCTCCTGCGGCAGCACCCCCGCCCTGCCCCCGGCCCCCGTCCGTGGCGAGGACCCCAGTGTCCAGCTCCAGGCTGTTCTGTCCCCGAGCGTCCACCCCTGACCCCCTGTGCTCAGAGGGGCCCGGGGACACTGCCTCTGCCTGCCCAGCCCTCCCAGCCCCCCTGCTGAGGCCCCAGCCCCCCGCCCCCCCCCCGCTGAGGCCCCAGCCCCCTCCCTGCCCCAAACTGAGGCCCCAGCCCCCTCCCTGCCCCAAACTGAGGCCCCAGCCCCCTCCCTGCCCCAAACTGAGGCCCCAGCCCCCTCCCTGCCCCAAACTGAGGCCCCAGCCCCCCCCCCCCCCCGCCCCACTGAGGCCCCAGCCCCCTCCCTGCCCCAAACTGAGGCCCCAGCCCCCTCCTTGCCCCAAACTGAGGCCCCAGACCCCCGCCCCCCCCCGCTGAGGCCCCAGCCCCCTGCCCCCCTGCTGAGGCCCCAGCCCCCTCCCTGCCCCAAACTGAGGCCCCAGCCCCCCCCCCCCGCTGAGGCCCCAGCCCAGGCCTGGGGGGGGGAGGGGGGCAGGGAGGCAGGGCTCACCCGCTCAGGCCTCGGCTTTGGGGCCAGAGCTCACGGGGCCAAATATAGCCGCTGCCTCATCCCAGCGGCTCATCTTCCAGGCCCTGGGCCAGGCGGCCATGGAGGCCGAGGCGGCCCCACACCTGTGGGCGGCCGGCCGGGACAGCAGCCCCCCATCCCCACCCCCAAGCCCCCTTTCGGGAAAAGTCCCTGAACAGCACGCTGGGAGGATTCTGGGACCGTGTCCCCACCATCAGCCCAGCTTCTGTTTGTTTTGTTAAGAAAGCTCTGCACGTTCTTTGATTATTAATAATAAATATGTTTGTATTGGTGTCAGAGAGGCAGGGAGAGGGAGAGAGGAACATCCGTGATGAGAGAGAGGATCACGGACCAGCGGCCTCCTGCACGCCCCCCACCGGGCACGGAGCCCGCCACCCGGGCCTGTGCCCCGACCGGGAACCGAACCCCGACCTCCTGACTCACAGGTCCACGGTCCCCCCGGAGCCACGCTGCGGGCGGGCGACCACGTCCTGCGCTCACCCCTCGCGCCTCGGCAGAGCCAGACCACATGGCTTCACGGCCGCCCAGGGCCCGCGGCCGGACGCTCCCGCCCGGCTCCGGACGGCTCACGTATTCACACAATCCTGGGCCGGGGCGGAAGAAGAATTAAAAAAATTTTTTTTAAAAAAAGGACAGTCCCCACACTTCACAGAGCTCGTGGTTCAGTGGGTAGGATGGAAGGCCAACAGGATAGAAACGGCCCTGGCCGGTGTGGCTCAGTGGACAGAGCGTCGGCCTGCAGACTGAGGGGTCCCCGGGTTCGATTCCAGTCAAGGGCACGGACCTTGGTGGTGGGCACATTCCCAGTGGGGGGTGTGCAGGAGGCAGCTGATGGATGTTCCTCTCTCATCCATGTTTCTGGCTCTCTCCCCCTCTCCCTTCCTCTCTGTGAAAAAATAAATGAAATATATATATATATTTTTTAGAAAAACAAAGCAGGATAGACACAGGCCTGGGGATTGACTGTGGTGAGGGGTCCTTGTGGACAGAGAGAAAGACATGGATGCGAGCCCAGAGGGAGGGCAGGGCTGGGGGGGGGCCGTGTGCCCGGAGGGAGGGGCAGGGCTGGGGGGGGGGCCGTGTGCCCAGAGGGAGGGGCAGGGCTGGGGGGGGCCGTGTGCCCAGAGGGAGGGGCAGGTCTGGGGGGGGTCCGTGTGCCCGGAGGGAGGGCAGGGCTGGGGGGGGGGGCCGTGTGCCCAGAGGGAGGGGCAGGGCTGGGGGGGGCCGTGTGCCCAGAGGGAGGGGCAGGTCTGGGGGGGGGCCGTGTGCCCGGAGGGAGGGCAGGGCTGGGGGGGGAGCTGTGTGCCCAGAGGGAGGGCAGGGCTGGTGGGGGGCCGTGTGTCTGGAGGGAGGGCAGGGCTGGGGGGGCCGTGTGCCCGGAGGGAGGGCAGGGCTGGGGGGGGTCTGGGGGGAGCTGTGTGTCTGGAGGGAGGGCAGGGCTGGGGGGGGCTGTGTGTCTGGAGGGAGGGCAGGGCTGGGGGGGGCCGTGTGTCTGGAGGGAGGGGCAGGGCTGGGGGGGGCTGTGTGTCTGGAGGGAGGGGCAGGGCTGGGGGGGGGCGTGTGTCTGGAGGGAGGGGCAGGGCTGGGGGGGGCCGTGTGCCCGGAGGGAGGGGCAGGGCTGGGGGGGTTAGGGGGGGCCGTGTGTCTGGAGGGGCAGGGCTGGGGGGGCCGTGTGCCCGGAGGGAGGGCAGGGCTTAGGGGGGGTTGGGGGGGCCGTGTGCCCGGAGGGAGGGGCAGGGCTGGGGGGGTTAGGGGGGGCCGTGTGTCTGGAGGGGCAGGGCTGGGGGGGCTGTGTGCCTGGAGGGAGGGCAGGGCTGGGGGGGGGGCCGTGTGCCCAGAGGGAGGGCAGGGCTTGGGGGGGGCCGTGTGTCTGAAGGAAGGGGCAGGGCTGGGGGGGGCCGTGTGCCCAGAGGGAGGGCAGGGCTGGGGGGGGGGGCGTGTGTCTGAAGGAAGGGGCAGGGCTGGGGGGGGCCGTGTGCCCGGAGGGAGGGCAGGGCTGGGGGGGCGGGGCTCAGAGGAGAGACGCCCCCCTTCTCCCCCCCCAGGAGAAGCTGGAGTACTTCTTCCTCATCGTCTTCTCCATCGAGGCCGCCATGAAGATCATCGCCTACGGCTTCGCCTGGCACCCGGACGCCTACCTGCGCAGTGGCTGGAACGTGCTGGACTTCATCATCGTCTTCCTGGGGTGAGGCGGGCGGGGGGCTGGGGGCGTCCGGGCCTGCAGCACAGGGGCACACGGGGTCCGGCCCGGGCCCGCGCCCCTGACCCCGCCCCCCCCCCAGGGTGTTCACGGTGATCCTGGAGCAGGTGAACCTCATCCAGAGCAACACCACGCCGCTGAGCAGCAAGGGCGCTGGGCTGGACGTCAAGGCGCTGCGGGCCTTCCGCGTGCTGCGCCCCCTGCGGCTGGTGTCGGGGGTGCCCAGTGGGTGCCCCCCGGCCCCTCCCGCCCCCGCCTGTCCCCCTCCTCCCTGGGCGGCCCTGTCCCCCCGGCCCCTCCCGCCTCCGCCTGTCCCCCTCCTCCCTGGGCGGCCCCGTCCCCCCCTGCCCCCCCCGCTCCCCCGCCCCAGCCTGTCCCCCCTCCTCCCTGGGCGGCCCCGTCCCCCCTGCCCCCTCCCGCTCCCACGCCCCAGCCTGCTCCCGCCCGGGGCCGGGTCCCCCCCCCCAGACCCCCTCCCGCCCCCAGCCTGTCCCCCCTCCTCCCTGGGCGGCCCCGTCCCCCCTGCCCCCTCCCCCTCCCTCTCCCCATCCTGCGCCCCGCCCGGGGCGGGTCCCCCCCCCGACCCCCTCCCACGCCCCATCCTGCGCCCCGCCCGGGGCCGGGTCCCACCCCCCCAGACCCCCTCCCACGCCCAGCCTGCGCAACGCCCGGGGCCGGGTCCCCCCCCCAGCCCCCCTCCCACGCCCCAGCCTGCGCCCCGCCCGGGGCTGGGCCCCCCCCCCCCCAGGTGGCCGGGAGGGTCCCGGGGTGTGGGGATGGGGGGGGCCTGACCCTCGCCCTGTGCGTCCCTCCCCCCCAGGCCTGCAGGTGGTGCTCAACTCCATCTTCAAGGCCCTGCTGCCGCTGTTCCACATCGGCCTGCTGGTCCTCTTCATGGTCATCATCTACGCCATCATCGGCCTCGAGCTCTTCAAGGGCAAGATGCACAAGACCTGCTACTACATCGGCACCGGTCAGCCCCGGCCGGGGGGGCGGGAGAGCTCAGGGAGCCGCCCGCGGTCAGCCCCCGGCCGGCCGGGCGGGCGGGAGAGCTCAGGGGAGCCGCCCGCGGTCAGCCCCGGCCGGGGGGGGGCGGGAGAGCTCAGGGGAGCCGCCCGCGGTCAGCCCCGGCCGGGGGGCGGGGGGAGAGCTCAGGGAGCCGCCCGCGGTCAGCCCCGGCCGGGGGGCGGGGGGAGAGCTCAGGGGAGCCGCCCGCGGTCAGCCCCGGCGGGGGGGGGGGGGCGGGAGAGCTCAGGGGAGCCGCCCGCGGTCAGCCCCGGCCGGCCGGGCGGGAGAGCTCAGGGGAGCCGCCCGCGGTCAGCCCCCGCCGGGCAGGGGGGCGGGAGAGCTCAGGGAGCCGCCCGCGGTCAGCCCCGGCGGGGGGGGGGGGCGGGGAGAGCTCAGGGGAGCCGCCCGCGGTCAGCCCGGCGGGGGGGGGGGGGCGGGAGAGCTCAGGGGAGCCGCCCGCGGTCAGCCCCGGCGGGGGGGGGGGGCGGGAGAGCTCAGGGGAGCCGCCCGCGGTCAGCCCCGGCGGGGGGCGGGGGCGGGAGAGCTCAGGGAGCCGCCCGCGGTCAGCCCCCGCCGGGCAGGGGGGCGGGAGAGCTCAGGGAGCCGCCCGCGGTCAGCCCCGGCCGGGCAGGGGGGCGGGAGAGCTCAGGGAGCCGCCCGCGGTCAGCCCCGGCCGGGGGGCGGGAGAGCTCAGGGAGCCGCCCGCGGTCAGCCCCCGCCGGGCAGGGGGGCGGGAGAGCTCAGGGGAGCCGCCCGCGGTCAGCCCCGGCCGGGGGGCGGGGGGGCGACCCCGGACAGCTCAGGGGAGCCGCCCGCCGCCATTGAAGACCCCACAGGAGCCGCGGCCTGGCTCCGCGGCGGAGCGTCCACCTAGGACCCAGGAGGCCAGGGTTCGATTCCCGGTCGGGGCGCCTCCTGGGTGGCAGGCTCCGTCCCCAGGGGCGTTTTGTGGAAGAGCCACACTCAGGGCCAAAGAGCAGCCTGTGGCTCGCCAGCCACAGTTTGCCGACCACGGCCCTTAGGGACATGCAACCTCGCTCTTGGGGCTTCTTTCCGTTTATTTTTAAATATATTTCTACGGATTTCAGAGAGGGAGGGAGAGGGAGAAACATCCATGAGGAGAGAGAACCATGGATCGGCTGCCTCCTGTACGCCCCCTACTGGGGATGTGCCCGCAACCAAGGTCCATGCCCTTGACCGGAATCGAACCCGGGACCCTTCAGTCCTCAGGCTGACGCTCTATCCGCTGAGCCACACCGGTGAGGGCACTGGTTTTTAGAGAGAGCGGACCCAGGGAATCGCCCTGCGACGGAAGGCATTGCTCCCATTTCTCAGGCAGAGAAACTGAGACTCGGTCACTGGCCCGTGAGCCGTGGGGAAGGTCTGTCCGGGACCAGGGTCCGGAGGGAGGACAGCTCGGCCGGGGCTGGGGCCGGGGCCGGGGCCCCAGGGCCTCCCCTCTGAGGAGCGACCCTGAGCCCAGGTTCATAGGTGGACGCTCAGCCCCTGGGCCACGCCGGCCGGCGGTCACACAGCCATTTTAACGGCGTTTCTCCCCCCTCACCCCCGCCTCCCGCCTCCCGCCCGCCTGGCCCGTGGCCCGCAGACGTGGTGGCCACGGTGGAGAACGAGAAGCCGTCGCCCTGCGCCCGCACCGGCTCGGGCCGCCCCTGCACCATCAACGGCAGCGAGTGCCGGGGCGGCTGGCCGGGGCCCAACCACGGCATCACCCACTTCGACAACTTCGGCTTCTCCATGCTCACCGTGTACCAGTGCATCACCATGGAGGGCTGGACCGACGTGCTGTACTGGGTGCGGCCCCCGCCTCCCTCCCTGGCCCCGGGTTCGGGGCTGGGCTGCTCAGGTCCGGGCTGAGACCCCACCTGTCCCCCAGGTCAACGACGCCATCGGCAACGAGTGGCCCTGGATCTACTTCGTCACCCTCATCCTGCTGGGCTCCTTCTTCATCCTCAACCTGGTGCTGGGCGTGCTGAGCGGGTGAGGAGGGGCGGGGAGGGGAGGAGGAGGAGGAGGGGGAGGAGGGAGAGGAGGAGGAGGAGACCCAGGCGCAGGCGGGAGCCGGTCCGGGTTTAAGTCCTCTCCCTGCCCCAGCCCTGTGTCCTGCCCCCTGTCCCTCAGCCCGCCTCTGGCCCCAGAGCAGCGGGGGCTCAGCACCGGGTCCGAGTGGCTCCGGCTCAGCCCGGCTCCGGCTCCGGAGCCAGGTGGTCCCGGCCTGCTGGTGCCTGCTGGCCGTATGACTCCGCCCACTGACCTACCCGCTCTGTGCCGGGGGTGCACACCTGCTCCCCTCCTCCCCCCCCCTCCTCCCTCCTCCCTCCCCCCTCCTCTCCCCTCCCCCCCCCTGCAGGGAGTTCACCAAGGAGCGCGAGAAGGCCAAGTCCCGGGGAACGTTCCAGAAGCTGCGGGAGAAGCAGCAGCTGGACGAGGACCTGCGGGGCTACATGAGCTGGATCACCCAGGGCGAGGTCATGGACGCGGACGATCTGCGCGAGGGTGCGCCCCCGCCTCCCGCTGCCCCCACAGGGAGCACCCCCGTGACCCCCGCCCCGGGAGGCGGGAGGGGCGGGGGCACTCCCTCTGGGTCCCGGAGGCCGCCCTGGGGGAGCAGGGGGAGCCGGGCCCGGGGGCCCAGCCCAGAGATCGGACTCGGAGCCTGTCCCGTCCAGGGAGGCTGTCCTTGGAGGAAGGCGGCTCGGACACGGAGAGTCTGTATGAGATCGAGGGCCTCAACAAGGTCATCCAGTTCGTGTGAGTCTCCTCCAGCCCCGCTCCTCCCACCCCTCCTCCGACCCCCCCTCCGACCCCCCCTCCCACCCCTCCTCCCACCCCCTTCTCCCACCCCCCTCCTCCCATCCCTCCCTGCTCCTCCCATCCCCCCTCCTCCCATCCCCCCCTCCTCCCCGCCCCCCCGCTCCTCCCAGCCCCCCTCCCAGCCCCCCTTCTCCCATCCCCCTCCTCCCATCCCCCCTCTCCCATCCCTCCCTGCTCCTCCCATCCCCCCTCCTCCCCGCCCCCCAGCTCCTCCCAGCCCCCCCTCCCAGCCCCCTGGCTCCTCCCATCCCCCCGGCTTCTCCCATCCCCCCCGGCTTCTCCCATCCCCCCTCCTCCCATCCCTCCCTGCTCCTCCCATGCCCCCCGCTCCTCCCATCCTCAGGCTCCTCCCAGCCCTGTATCCTGGTGTGGCTCAATGGATAGAGCATCGGCCTGTGGACTGAAAGGTCCCGGGTTCGATTCTGGTCAAGGGCATGGACCTTGGTTGCGGGCACATCTCCAGTACGGGGTGTGCAGGAGGCAGCTGATGGATGTTTCTCT